AGGCCCCGTTATGGGTCCCGGTACGCCCTCGGGACGGATGGGACCCGGCGGCCCGCAGAACCATATGTATCGACCACCGATGCCCGGATACCCGGTAAGGCGCGAGGAGAACAAAGAAGCACCCTAACCTAGACGGAGGGGTTTGCTTTTAATGTTTGCATGCAGGATCTATGGGTTTATTCAATGCATCAAACATTCAGACCGTTTTGAATCGAATTAAAAAGCGTTAAAATGAGAATATCTTGCATTATTATGCTCGCGTGCTGTGGTGTTGATTTGAGTAGGTCACTGCAAAAGCATCAAACTCCACTTTTCTGATTTATAACCCAAAACACACGATTTGAGTATTTCTCTTATAATTTGCATAAATAAAAATTAATCCGCAGTTAATTTGGATGACGTTAAGAGAGTTTCCGCAGAAAAGCGTGGATTTGTCTGATACTAGGGCCTACAGGAGCATCATCCTGATGGGTTTGTTGCATTGATGGCCAATGTGTTTATGTAGATATTACACATCATATATTATGCGTGCAGTGTGCCTGGGACCACCAGTGGAAATACTTCTGTTTTGAGTTTTTCTGGTTGAACACACATTTATAATCCCTTGAATTATCAACACACAGTGTAAGAGAAGTAGTTTGTTTATAGAAACATGGAAAAGTCAGAATGATCATGTTCTCCAGCATGATTTGAGATGTTCTTAAGAGCATCTTGAGCTTCAGTGACCATCTGTACAAAGAGTCAGTTGATCAGCGACGCCTATTTTATTAGTGACCCAGAAACTGCATAATGTCTGTGTGCTTTATTGGGCCTAAACATTAAAAAGCTACTTTTATGCCCTCTAAAAGCTATTGTATTGTTCAAGGATTCTAGAAAAAAATCACAAGTTTCACATTTAGGAAAAAAATGTGGAGAATTTGTGCTTCTGCGTCTTGCATTCTAGGATGGATTAGGTTTTGGTTTGCTGTTTTTCTTGCTTGTGTGTGTGTGTGTGTGTGTACTGTGTAGACTTCAGTGAAACCTTTTGAACACGTGCTCTTTTATTTAGGAGAAAAGTAAGATAAAAAAAATTTTTTTGTGCAACTTCATGTTTGCATTCTTCAGTTTGTTTGAGTTGCGATTGAAGGTTGTTTATTCATACATTGCAGTGGAACAATATATATATAAAAAATTTTTTTTTTTGGACTTGATAAATGGTCCTAAAGTGAACCCGACAGCTTTCACAGCTTGTGCACTTTTAAGTGCCCTTTTCCAGCATTCGCTCTTAACATTTACAATGAGAAGACAACCGTCAGCTGGAGAAATGGTGCTGTTTAAAAAAAATCATATTACTGAAAAACGAAATGCTTTGGTAGTTATAATGGTTGCCCTTTTTAGAACCACAATTTTGTAAAATTAGTGTTAAATTACAGCAACTTATACCTCATTTTCTATCATTAAATCCTTATATGTAAATATTTATATTATATGTATTATTATTGTTGCCATTTATTTAGTCAAATATTGATTTGTACTGTGATGTATGCTAGCATTCCATATTGCTATCTCATATTGCTTCATAAATGCCAGGCCAGAACAAGAAAGCCAATCAAAACCCTTGATCTCCTTATTTTTGTCCATTCGGTTAACCGTCCTTCGTTCCTATCTTGGCAGAGACCGGGAATGCCTCCAGCCAATCGTATGACCCCTCAGGGACCCTCCATGGGACCCCCAGGTTACGGGGCCAGTCCAGTGTCCCGCCCCGGTATGCCAGTCATGGACCCGTCCCGCAAGCGACCGCCGCCAAATCAGATCCAACAGGTCCAGCAACAGAATCGCAACCAACAGTAAGCCCAGTTAACGCTTCACTTGATGAAACAAACCTGATGATTTTGCTAGTGTGTAACAGAAATCATTTGAAGTGCTTAATTGGATCTATCTCTCATGGTGCTGTTTTTCATTTTAGTGCCAAGAAGAAGAAAATGGCAGATAAAATCCTACCTCAAAGAGTAAGTGGTCATGAAATGTATTTTTAACTCTTCAAATGTGTCTGAAGTGTCTTCAAGATGTTTAACTAGTGGCATAATTTGTACAGTACACGTAGACAGCCTTGATGTTTTTATTTTTATTTTTTTGAAAAAGCTCTACAATTTGAATGTAATCAGTTTGTTTTTTCCTGTGCACTTTTT